ACCACAATAAATGCACTGACAGGATTTTGAATGTTCAAAAACTATAATACTATTAGGGCTGGGTATCATTAAGTTGCCGATATGATACATATCTCGATACAGTGCGCTTTCAGTTCGATACAATACTTTTTAAATTGATTTGATACAGTTCAATAAAAAATAAAGCCTAAATCATGGCTGTGATCTAAAACTGATTGTTAAACCACAAACATTTTACTCATCAAAACAGTGAAAATGTCAAACGTGTCACATAAACAAGTTTCCTCCCACAAACAAGCAATAAAACTGTAGCTGTAACACAATAATTTAGTGAAATATACCAAAAAATACTCTTGGTGATATATCAATACAGCAGCCCACGATATTGATACTGTATCATCACATTAAACAATACGATATATCAGTATTTCAATATTTTTACACACCCCTAAATCCCAAACCATAAGGAGAGTGGAAAGGTTTAACAATTCATATTTAACCCTAAAAGTCTGATCAGTTCTACACATGTAGGTGCCGTAAAGTCATGGAAAATTCACTTTAGTTCATAAAACAGTCATGGAAATGTTTTGAAATTTTGTCAGTGAAAAAGCGTGGGAAACCTGAATCTCCTCTCTTTCTGCATTTTGATTAGTCATTATTGCTCATCTGTTGCTTTCTCATTCTAATTCTAGTTTTTCCAGATAACATAAACATATTATCTTGACATTTTTTATATATTTTCCACCTCTAATAGTTGTGTTGGTGGTGGAAGAGATACTCATACTAGTGCTGAAGTAATGCTAGTGCTGAAGCAGTAGTGGTGGTATTTGTACTAGTGTTCATAATAGTAATCGTGTTAGTAGTATTAGTATTAGTATTAGTATTAGTATTAGTAGTAGTATGCAGCCTGTACATTTTCCCAGCCGTGTTTCCCAGAGGAGAGGAGCAGCTCTGTGTTTGACCTCATATGGGCAAACTCCACTCTCCGCTTCACTGTTTATCAGATGTGAGTTTGTGTTTCTATGGACCAGACACAGACCGAGATCAAATATAGAACACAACTTTTGTACTTATCCACTTTTCAAATCCAAATTTAAATCCACTTTAGTTGTAGAGCACATTTTACAAACAAAGCAGTTTCTAAAGTGCTGCACAGAGATTAGAAAATGAAGACAACAAAAACGTAAATTGCTAAAATTTGATTAAAAACATAAAAACACCAAAACATGAACTAGCAGTAAATATACTCATAAAATAGCAGTACTATACTTATAGACACATCAAGAATCTCGAACTTCCGGACATTACACAATTCATACTGGGAAGGATTTTCCGAAAAAGTGAGCATGGGATGTGTCTATTGACAAAGTCGATCTTTTCTAGTCTTTTGAACCATATCACTTTTGTTTCTGGTTCTGATATTGTCATATTTTAGTTTTGGGATTCAGACATCGTTAATTGTGTGGTTGTTGGATCCTAACAGCGGAAAACGGCTCGAGAAATTTGTTTGCGAACTCCATAGATGCAAAAGGGAATCAGATGTGTGTGACTGTAAACCTCTGTTCAAACTGTTTCTCTTCATAATGTAATTGAAAAATAGTGAAAGGTGAAGGTGATGGGCAGGACTGATCCACAGGAAGAACCAAAAAGGAAACATTTGACTGCCTAAATCATCCCGAGTTTGCAGAGAACATTTTGTATGTGGAGAACCAACAAAGCAAAATCCTGATTCCTCACTTAACCTTGTTCACAAATTTAAAAAGTCAACACCAAAGTGAAAGGCTCCAACTGTTCACCAAGAAACACCTTCCACTGCAAAGAGACCAAGACGTGATGTTGCTGTAAAACCACAAGAACAAGAAAGTGCAGCTCAGTCTGTTTGTCTTCTGCACCTCTCGATTAACAAACAGGATCCCACTTTGATGTCACTCCACATATAAAATGTTCTCTGCAAACTCGGGATGATTTAGGCAGTCAAATGTTTCCTTTTGGTTCTTCCTGTGGATCAGTCCTGCCCATCGCCTTCACCTTTCACTATTTTTGAATTCCGTTGGGAAGAGAAACAGTTTGAACAGAGGTTTGAGTCACACACATCTGATTCCCTTTTGCATCTATGGAGTTCGCAAACAAATTTCTCGAGCTGTTTTCCGCTGTTAGGATCCAACAACCACACAATTACAATGTCCGAATCCCAAAACTAAAATATGACAATATCAGAACCAGAAACAAAAGTGATATGGTTCAAAAGACTAGAAAAGATCGACTTTGTCAATAGACACATCCCACTGGGAAAACAAACATGGAGGTTTGATGTTCACTTTTTCGGAAAATCCTTCCCAGTATGAATTGTGCAATGACCAGAAGTGTGAGATTCTTGATGCGTCTATAAATATAGTACAATGTAGGGCTGGGCAATCGAGCCAAAATAATATTTACTATTTCACTATTTTTTTTTTTTAATTAAAAACAAATACAATAACTTCTGTATTAATTCTGTTAGGGCTGGACTAAAACTCAAATGAATTCGATTTATTTGTGTGTTTAATCGAGATTTTGTATCTGAAATCAAAATGAAAACAAGTATTATTATGAAACAAGTTTACTCCTGAAAGAGAAAAAGCTTCCCCTGTTTGAAAGACTTTAAAATGTTCCAGCATGTCCAGCCTAAACTAATAAACTAATGTGTAATACCTCAAAGCAGATTTCTTTTTAAACATCCAAAACAAATCTCATATTTTCCAATCTTCCTCCTCCTCACATCCCCCTCTCTTTCCTCTGCAGCATTCACTCCCTCCATGTTGTAACGTTGTAAATCTCCCACCACTTTGGCTCCCGGCCGAAACTAATCTGCCTCAGCGCCTCTGTTAGCACGAGGGGAGATGTCGCGAACAGGAAGTGCAGTCATTAGTCAGCAGGAAAACCCGAGTGAACTCTGTCGCACGTTTACACTTTTCGGACACACCCCGTTGGCTCGCGCCGGTTTGTAAGAGACAGAGACGTGTTCATGACCGGTGTTGACTCAAGGAGCAAATGAGGCTGAAATATGCAGAGGAGGGGAGGGGCTAGGGAGGGGTCGGTGACATAAACGCACTGTTCAACTGTAGCAGGTTGTGAAAACTTGAAGTCATAAGATGTATTTCAAGTTGCTTTCATACGACATCACAATATTGTGTATATCAGGGGGTGTTCACACTTTTTCAGCATGTGAGCTACTTACAAAATGACCAAGTCAAAATGATCGACCTAATACAAAGCCAAACTGCACTGAAACACTCTGTGCCCCTTTTTTGGACCCTCACCCACAGTTTGAGAACCTCTTCTTTAAGAGAACTTCCTCTGGCACTTTACACAAAACTGTGAAAAAAGTGAAGGAAGATTTTTAAACCTGTTTTTTAAAGTTCCAAACTGGAGTTTCATTCTTTTGTGGTTTTGCAGTGATATTTACCAGCCTCTGCACGTTTACCAAACCAAACGCACATAGTGACAAACACAGATGCATTTGTCACTTTTGTTAGACAAACTTCAGCCAAATGTGGCAGTAGGTCTGTTCTGTAGATCCGCTCTATGCTGTAGACCTGCTTTGTGCCAACACTGGAACACAAATTTAGATTCGTTTTTGCTTCACGTTTGGTCTTGCTCTTCTAATCAGCCGCACTGTGGGAGGGGCTTGTGTTGGCTGTACGCAGGAAGGAGCGAGAGCGTGAAAAGGCGAGGGGCGGCGTGCTGACGTGAGGCAGATGGACAGGTAGGATGTTTAGGAAGTTGAACCTGCCCTGTGATGCACCTGGTACACGAGGGCACACGCTGTCGCAGACGAGCCGTGCATAGGGAGCGTGTGTGTTTGTGATGTGCCGTAGAGTCTCCGCGGGTTTCAAATGAGCGCACAGGCTGCACTGAGACGCCCCACACGCTCCTGCACCCGCTACAAGTTTATTACCAACAGCAGCGGCCGGAATGAAATATGATCACACTTGTTGAGTGTCAGACCTTGAGTGAGAGACAAGACCGAGTCCAAACACGAGTCCGAGACGAGACACGGCGATCTACCCACACGACCTTGGCGATCGACTGGTAGATCGACGTATTGCGCACCCCTGATCTATAGTTTGAGCTGGAGATAGGTCAGAATCGTCAGGTGGATTTTGCTGTGTGTGTGTCAGATGTAGATTTGTTGACCTGGTTTATGGTTCAGATCTCTGTCCTTACTGGGCCTGTCCACCTGAAACAAAAACTGGCACTAAGTTCAACATCTTCTCTGTCAGAATAAATGAATAAAAGTGAAATTACTTATTGCAGTCGCTTCAGAAAGTGGTGCCATTATTCAACTCCAAAGATGTAAGAGTTGTCAAATGAAAAGACTTCAAACAAAAGATTAATATGACAAGTTTGTTGTTGTCTCTCCTCCCTCTCTCCTTCACCTCTCTTCTCTCCTTCTTTTCTCTTTCCTCACTCCCTTATCCTCCCTTTGTTCTCCCCTATGTCCTCTCTCATTCCTCTTTCCCCTCATTCCCTCTTTATTTTTTCTCTCTTCCTCTGTCATCTCTCTCTCCTCTCTTTTCTGTCTCCCCTTTCTCTCTTCCCCCTCTCTCCCCCTTTCCCCTTCTCTCTTCTTTTCCCTCTCTCTCCTCTGTTCTTTCCTCTCTTCCCTCTCCTTCTCTCCCCTCTCCCTCTCTCCTTCTGTCTCCCTCTGTCCATCTCTCCCCTCTCCCTCTGTCCTCCTTTCCTTCTTTCCTTCTGCCCCCTCTCTCCTTTCTCCCCTCTCCTTCGGTTTCCCTCTCTTCTCTCTGTCTCTCTCATGTCCGTCTCTCCCTCTCTCCATCTCTCCTTTTGTCTCCCTCTTTCCTCTTTGTTTCTCCCCTCTCCCTCCTCCTTCTCTTCTTCTGTCTCCCTCTCTCCTCTCTCTCCTCACCATCTCTCCCCTCTTTGTCTCTCCCTCTCTCCTTCTCTCCTTCTGTTACCCTCTCTCCTCTTTCCTCTCTCTATCTCTCCTCCTCTCCTCCTCTCCCTCTCTCCTCCTGCAGGTGGTCGGGCGTGTTCCTTCTCTCCGTGCATTGAGCAGGTGCAGAGGACGTGCGCCGCTTTCTCGGACCACGGTTTTTCGGAGCTCTGTACCGTAGAGATCCTCCTCCAAGTCCACGACGTCCGGACCGTCTCTCTGCCCCTCCCGGACTTTGGACCCAACCCGGATCTAAACCAGGACCAGAACCAAGACCAGAACCACAACCAGAACCAGTCTGGTCCGGGTGCAGTGACCATCAAAACGACCACAGCTCCCAGAGAGATTCCTGGACACACTGGTTTTCTCACATTTGCCACTAAACCAAGAACTTAAGAGGAAAAAATGACTAAGAAAATATTTTAGTATTTTTTAGTTTAAATATTTTGTGTTTCACTTGAATAAAGGCAAATGGGAAGAGCAGGAAAATACTGAACCAGACTCTGTGTGTGTGTTAGGATTTTGCAGTTTTATATTGATTTAATGTTCAAATCGTGAACTTAAACATTATTTGTAGTGAAAAGCCTTTTTTTTTTTTTTTACAGTTTATCTTATTGTCGTACTTATTACCACTACATAGTGCAGAATTGCTCTCATGTTAATGTATATTCCACCAAATATCAACAGTTTTTTGTAATTTTTTATTCTTATTTGGAATATTAAAAGAATTATGGTGCCTTTTATTTTCTAAAACAAACCTTTGTGTTGTAATTTGTGCAAATATGATGAACCCAAAACCTGCAACTCACAATGATGCTGAATTATATATCTCACAAATAACCTATCTGTTTTTTTAGTGTATCAGCTATGGGCCTTAAAGGTGCATTGTGTAGCTTTTCTGGCCACCTGCTTTGTCTCCATGGAGATGTTATTGCTCTGACTGGAATGTTCCACAGTATGGATTTGGACATATCTGACATTTGGATATGGAGGAGTCAGACGGAGCAAAGAAGAGGGTCAGAGGAGAAGAACAGAGGAGCAGAGAAGATGGTCAGAGGAACAGAGGAGCAGAGGATGCAGAGAGGCTCAGATGGAGAGAGTCAGAGAAGCAGAGGTGAGGGTCAGATGGGGAGGGTCAGAGAAGCAGAGAGAGAGTCAGAGAAGCAGAGGAGAGGCTCAGATCTCCTGGAGCAGTGGTGGTTTCTTGGTTGTAAAGCCTGCTGCATTTAGCCGCTCATTTTCTGGTTAGCGCTGTTTAATCTCTTTAGTGTATTTTTGCGTTCTAATCCTGGATTTAGCGTGGGACAGGGATATAAATGCCTCCTGTATCCGAGGGAAGTGATGGTGTGAAGACCGAAGCAAAACCGGGACCTGTAGTAAAGCCAGACTTAGATCAGGGCCAGTCCGTAATCCCAGTAAACAGTCGTAGATCATTTCCAGTAACAGACCATTCATACAAAGACACTCTTGTTTGTTCATGAAGCAGGCTGTTGATCAGATTAAAAACTTTAGGAGATGGTTATTTAATAATGCTAAATTTGCACTATGTAACTTTTCTGATGGAGGGTCTACACTCGCTTGTCTCCATGGAGATGTCGCTCAATGGAAACATCAGGCAATGCAGTTACATAGTTTTTATTGCAAAAAATTCTGCAGGTCTGTAATTTATGTATGAGTGCTTGAGGTAAATCTGTGCCATACTGTGTGACACTGGCAAAAGAATAACATCTCCACAGAGGCAAGTAGCAGACAAAGTTACATAGTGCAGCTTTAAGGCAACTGAGGTTTTCAGAAATGTTTGTGGTTCAGTGTTTGTCCACTGATCCAAACGTTGGTGGTTCAAATCCTGCTCTTGACACAAACATCGTCAGTTATGTGTTAGATCCACTGACCCACAGGTTGGTGGTGTGATTCCAGCTCCCACTGATGAATATTGTTGTTGTGTCCTTGGGCAAGAGACTTAATCCCCCCTCGCCCCCAGTGTCTATGTAGACTGGTGTGTGAATGAGTGTGTGAGTGGTTCCATGATGTGAACGCTCTTTGAGTCTTGAAAAGCGCTGTATAAAAATGTGACTGTCAGATTATTGTGTCATCACTAAACTCGTGCTCATATAAAGGTGCAGTGGTTTTAAAAGGACGCTCTGTGTGAGAGGTTTAATCTGAGGACCTGGAATAGAAACTCTGAGCCTCCCAATCCTAATCTGACTGAGCCCGTACTCCACCAGAGACCGGGCCAGAGACCGGGCCAGAGACCGGGCCAGAGACCGGGCCAGAGACCGGGCCAGAGACCGGGCCAGAGACCGGGCCAGAGACCAGACTAAACACTGCTCTGATATCTCAAATACTCCTAGTCTTCTAGTTGTGCACCTCAAGTTTTTCATTTAATCATATCCTTGTGCGTCAGATGCCCTCATCCTCCTGCACCCTGCAGTAGGTGAAGGTCAAATGGTTATCCTACTACTACGACCTTTTACTATTGATATCAAATAAAATTTTTCTGTCTTTTGAATGGTGAAAAGTCCTCAGAATTTCACCTATAAACAGGAAGGTGAAACCCATGACTCTGCAGATGTTCCAGGATCAAATCTGAAACGCAACCTGGACTAGCGCAGGACCTTCTTGTAAACTTTTACACAACACTATGAATCTTAATGTAGATTGCAGGATCCAGCAGTGCCCCTAGAGGAGGTGCTGGTGTGAGTTTAACCTTTTAATCCTGGACTAAAAACGGCAGCGCAGCAGGTGAGAGGATTAAGAACCGACCAGCCAATCAAAACCAACCAGAGATTTATCGTTACCAAGAGCAGTTACAGCATTTTACCAGAATGTAATGCCTCTTATAGACTGAGGTGATCAATAGTGACAAAAATAAACCTGTTAAATGTAGCGCTCTCCCTTTATTGAATAGTAATAAGGAAAGACTCTACAGATTTTTACAATGGAGCTCAGCAGTGACCAGAACAAAATTTCCCATCCATTTTTCCAACAGACATTCAAAAAAGAAGTATATGAAACATCTGAAAGCTCAATGCTAATCAGCTCTGGTAACTAACAACCACAAGACCTATAATATTATTTAAAATCTGTGTCTGAAACTTTAAACTGCCGAGTTATTTAGAAAAAATTGCAGAATCTTGTGTTTTAAATGTGTTTTTTGTATTTAAAACAACACTATTATGGATATTAGTTAGCTGCATGTAGCTGGATGGAATCTGCGCTGTATTTGAACTCTTAATATTTGAATTTTTATGAAAAGTTTATGGGAAAAATGAAAGGAAAATTGACTTTGAGAACCGGGTGAGCAGTCACTGTTGAGCTCCATTGCTTTTTAAGTTCAGCTTTTGTTTTAACCTTTAATAAATTCCAGTCCAAAATGACAATAAAGTGATCTTATCTTATGCACTTTGACCCAAGGAGTCTGGGTTTATGATGCTGATAAATCCTTAATGCAGCTTTAAAAGTTCATATCTTTTTTTCTTTTTTTTTTTTGATGCGTTAAAAGATGCATTATGTAACGTTTCTGGTGGAGTCAAATGCTTTTCTCCATGGAGATGTTATTGCTTTGTCTAGAATGTTTCACAGTATGACATTAAACCTTTTTATCTTCATGGAGACCAAACCAGATCAGGTTACAGGTCAGATCTGTGGAGAGGCGACCCCGCTCACAGTCAGAATGTCTGTTTTTGAATGAATGAGAATGAGAAAAAGCATAACTTAAATTAACTGAATTGGAAGAACTTTTAAAGATGCACTATGTAACATTTCCGGTGGCATGTACACTGCCTGCTGGAGATGTTATTGCTTTGCCTGGAATATTCCACAGTATGTCTTTAAATGTATGTATATGTTGTATTATTTAATCGTGCATCTTTTTATTGCTTGAAAATACTTAAAAACATGTATTCTCCCTGCCAATGGGCTCGTCCCTCCACAGATCCGACCTGTAACTTGGCCTTGTGGCATCAGCTGCTTTTTTCCAAGGACACAAATAAGTTAAATGCCACACTGCGAAGCATTCCAACACAATCTCCATGGAGACGAGCAGGTGTCTGAGAAAAGTTACATCTGTGCATCTTTAAAGGTTTTATATTAAACAAAAGTGACTCTTGTGAGCTTTAAATCATGTTCTAATGTTTTTACCTCCTCAAAAACAGAGCTGGAGTTGTGTTTTGTTTCATTCACACATGTTTGAGTAACTCTATTATTAGTCTCTGATGCTCTGTTCCACTTTGTGATGTCATTTAGAGGCAGTTAACAGTTTCTCTTTTTCCTTTTGTTGTGTACAGACTGACAGGTCCAGGGCTGAAATCATCCAAATGATTCTAGTGAAGGTGTGTGGAGTTTAAAGGGACAGTTTGGAATTTTGGACATAGGACCTCATTTCAGTGTTGGAGACACTTTTTGAAATCTTCCCTCCAGTCGTTGTATTTGCAGAGGTCACTGGTGTTAGACTAGTGCAGGTCAATGCTCAGAGTTTATCCTGCCACTAAAAACAGTCTTACCCACTCCACAAAACCCCCCAAACTAATCTATGATTACACCAGACTGTCCATGTCAACGTCTGTCGATAGAATCATTTTAGAAGTAAAACCAACGTTTAGTCCTGGTTTTAGTCCAGGTTTTAGTCCTGGTTTAGTCCTGATTCAGTACTGGATTAGTCCTGGTTTAGTTCTGTTTTAGTCCTGGTTTAGCCCAAAATGTGAAAACAGGAAAATACCTCTGTGTAATCCATTTATTTCAACAAAGTAACTGTAATCCAATGACCACTCACTGAAACAGTAACTGTAACCGAACACAGTTACTCATAATTTGTACTCTAACTTAAGTACATGTAATCTGTTACTCCCCAACACTGCAGACGACCTTTAATAGACTTTTTTTTTAAATCATTTCACTTGTCAGTCTTACGTAATGTGGTTGAGTTCAGACTGTGGTGTGAGGGTTTTATCAATGGCCTCCTCCTCCTCCTCCTCCTCCTCCTCCTCCTCCTCCTCCTCCTCCTCCTCCACAAACCCATTCACAAAGCCTGCTCCCTCTCTCTTCTCTTTTTTTCTCTCTCCCTTTTTGGTGAATGCAGATTTCTCTCTTGTTTAATTATGCTCTTTGGTTTTGTCTTTTCTTGGCTCAGTTCCTGTTTGCTCCCATTACTCTGGTCCAGACTTCCTTCAGTCTTTGGAACGCTCCAGTGTGGCCGTTTCCCGTGTCCCCGGTCCCCCATTCACGCGCGGCACAAACGGCATCCAACATCTAAACTGGAGGCTGAATGACTTTACAACTTAGAGCGTATGTTTTATTTCTTGATTAGGCCTAACTTTCTGAAGCCTGGATTTATATTCAATTTATTTTCTTCATAATTTATTCAATATTTTGGGGGTACGATGGGAAAGTGTAATCACAACGTCTTTGTTCTGATAATGATAAATAATGCATTCGTCTTATGCAGCTCTTTTCCAGACGCTCAAAGTCACTGTACAGTTTGGTGCATTATTCATTTACTCTACACTCGGAGAAGGTCAGATTGTTTTCTAGCCACAGCTGCCCTGGGACAGACTAGCCCCCGCAGTGGAGTGTTTTAACTCTCAACTTAAGACCCACTTTTATTGTCTGTGTGAGTTGTGGGGTCCTGGATTGTGTTTAAGTTTAATTTGATTCACTTCTTTTTATAGTTTTAGTCATTTTTAGCTTTATGCATTTTAACACTTTTTATTTGTTGTTTTTTATTTATGTTTTTCTCGTTTTTTGT